GCCAAGACCACCAGTGACTTTCATGGTTCAGCAGGGTTTTGAACCCAAGTCTAGCATTGTGTCTACTATGTTATACAGGTTCTCCATCCTCACCCTAAAATCCTTAAGCTTGCTCTTAGTATTTTTATACCTTGTATGAAGTGACAGGGAAACTGCAAGTGAGCTTGCTCTAGTTTACAGACATCTTTATAAACTAAATCCGTAAGGCATAAATGGCCTTCACGGCCTTACCATTGACCACCAGCTGGAGACTAATGTGCTTCTCTAGGCCAGCCAGCCCATTCCTAAGAACCAATGTGTAAGTGCCAGAGTTCTGCTCCACCACATCCTTGATATGCAGGGAATACTGAGATTGTCTGCTGGAAATTAACTTTCCATCCTTAAACCTGGGCAGAAGTAGAGAGAGAGAGAATGTTATTAGCATGTTCCTTCTGGAATATGATCCCAGTGCTTTGGCCAGTGAGGTGGGTGCTGTTTTGCAAAAGGCCTCATTCAGTAATCCCCCCCCCAAAAAAAAGGATACGCAGTGTGTGTTTACTGGTGAAAAGGAAAACACGATCAAAAGTTGGATATATTAACTGATTAGTTGCTGTAGATTATCAGGGTTGTGTGGCCGGGGTCTTGGCATTGTAGAACCTGACGTTTTGCCAGTAGCTGTGACTGGCATTCTCAGAGGTATAACACAGAAAGATGTGTTATACCATCTTTCTGTGTTATACCTCTGAGGATGCCAGTCACAGCTACTGGCGAAACGTCAGGTTCTACAGTGCCAAGACCATGGCCACACAACCCGGAAAATCTACAGCAACTAATGAACTCTGGCTGTGAAAGCCTCCGACAATGTATTAACTGATTGTTCACACCCTTTTAAGACTGCTGTCTGTGACAACCCACAGTCACTTGGGTGACTAGAACTCAAGGGCTTATATTGCCTTTAATTTTATACCCAACGTGCACTGATATACAAAGCAAAGTGAGGTAGAATTCAGTCTTCTTTACTTATTTTTCATTCTTTTGTAAAAATATTAATACTCCACCTTTCCCATTGTCAAATATTGGCTCATGGCAGCTACTTTCCTTACTTTCCAGATGTATTGCAGCCAGCTGATCAGAATGAGAGATCAGCAACATACACAAGAATATCATACAACCACAGCTATTTATTTAATATTACTGCCACTCCATCCAGTGTACAGGTGCAAGTCGACACCAGAACATTCTCTCCCCCAACACAGTTCATGATTTTCCCTTAGGAGATAAAAAATAGGGCCAAGGCCGATGGTGCAAAATCAGGTAAAAATATTTCATTACTCAGTCGAATTTCCAAAAATTCCCTATGAATTTTGCCAACAGGCGTCGTTAGGGGAATCTGTTAGTCTTGCAAGATGCATAGGAAATTTTGAAAAATTTAACTAATAAAATGTATTTTTACCTGATTTTGCACCATTGGTCTTGGCCCTATTTTTTAAATTTAATTTTATTATTTTATTGGATTTGTATTCCACTCTCCCCCTGTGTTCAGGCTGTAAAGTGTGTGGTTCTTTATTTTCTCCTGTGACTGGTGCAGCTCTTTATTTTCTCATGATTTCCCCTTAGTCAGAAGGGCCTCAGCCTGCTGAAAGAGTAACAGGTGTTAGACTGCCACAGGGTTTATGAGACTGCACTTGCATGTGGGTGGGTGTTGTAAGCATCTGTATGTGTGTTTGCCAAAAGAACTAATGAAGAGAGATTTCCTCCCCTAATCTCTAATCTCTGCCAGAAATCTGGTCAAAAAGCTGAGGAAGAATTTTTTTTTTAATGTCCCAGGTGAAAAAAGTAGCTAACTTCTCCAAAGCATAAGGCTAATGAGGTGAATTTAAGGATCACAACAGCCACCAGAAATAGCTCCAAAGCCAATTCATCATACTGTAGCAGGGTTATGTCCCTCCTCTCAAAACAGATTTCAGCAAGATCCTTCTTAATGATAACGACCACTTCCCTGCCCCAGTCCCCTCTCTGGAATCGACAGCCCTAAAGCCTACTAAGCCTGTAGCTAAGAGGAATGTATTACCACTGAAACTCAGGCTGAGGGTACGCAACCACTTTCACTGGCAGCTTCACAATTTCATCTCCTGCTGTTGCTTCTATTATCGGGCCCTTCTTCCACTCCACATTGATGAAAGGCGTCTCTGTAAAGAACCAGTCAGATAAGAGGAGGGAAGGCAGAATGAAGCTGTCAAAGAAGCTTGCTGAGGCAAAATCAGAGATTTCATTAACCCAAATACATAACAAAAGATGCAATTTCCAGCCAACAAATGATGTATGTACAGACACCCTTTATATGTTACACGCATAAATCAATATTGACATGACATGAGAGAACATTATGTGACAATTACACCAATCCACATTTCATGCTTAGGGTTGCCAACAGGCCTCTTTAACAGAGGCTTAATGTATGGAAGTGGGTGGCTGAAGCTTTCATGGTATGGAGGTAAATAACACTACCTGGTAAATAACATCCCTATTAAGGGGACAGACCATTTTTCTCTAGGCCTGTTGGCAATCCTATTCATACTATAAAGGCATGTATTTGTTATCCTTTGCCAATGCTAATTTAGCCTGAAAATCGCTTTTCATTGGACTAATGTTTTAACTGAACACTTGCCACTTCTTTTACCATAAAAGTTTGCTTTGTATGGGTGATAGTTGAAGGCTTATACTACATACCTCCTGTAGAATGACTCAGGGAACAGCAGGGCAAGCAACCTTTTTCATAGTCAATGAACCTGTCCTTCACTTCGTATAAATACTTGGATATCTCAGTGAAAGCATGTCCCCCTTACATCTCCTATGGAGAGGAGTATACAGTAGACCTCACCATTCACAGATTCATGACTTGAGATTTCACTATATTCGCGGTCTGCGATTTGATCATGTGACATGCTCTCCAGTCTGTTTTTACCCCTACCATGTCATTATCATAATCATCAAATGGTTAAATTTGGGGAGAAAAAACCTGAGGTTTTCTTTTTCATAGTGGGAGGCAGCATTCACAGATTTTGTCATTCCTGGTGGTCCCAGAAATACATTGTTACTTGATGGTAAGCCTTAACTGAGGAGAAAGGTAACCCACTCTCAAAAGCATTACTTGGCTTTCTCTGGTAGGGGTCGCAGTAATGAATCCTAGCTTTACGGATTATATTCATTGAGAGTGCAGTGTGTCTCATAATAATGCTATCACCTTCACGGGGGGGAGGGCAGTAGAGAATAAAAGGATGCAAGCCTTGATTAGAGCCTGTAGAAAAATGTCCTGCCCCTTTAAGTAGAGGCTTCATTTGTGGAAATGGTTCCTGAAAATGTTATGACATGGAGGTAAATAAGAACACTTTATTAACTAAGCATCTACTCAAGAGACAGGACATCTTTTTCTCCAGACAGTTGGCAAGTGTTGCCTTGATATGAGGTTTTCACTACCTCCTCTGTCCATGGATTCTCTTTTTATTAAACATACCTCTCCTCATCTGACTGCTGTTTCATGAGGAGGTAATCTGACTTTAAAGCAGTTTTCTGCTGAGTAAATACTCTAAAACACCAGAAAGGTGTTTGTGGTTTTTACCATGTACGATGACATCTATGCTCTCCTTGAAGATCTGCTCCCCATTGCTAGCCACGCATGTATATTTCCCCACATCCTGCTGGCTCACATTTTGGATGATCAGGATGCTGGAGAGCTCAGTGTGGGTCTGCTGGGAGCGCCTCTCAGGCATTTCTGTGACTTCCCGATTCATCTGCCAGAAAAAGTGACAGAAGCGAAGGAATAAATGGATAAAACTTGCAGGCAATTCTTCTCCAAACTGAAGTATTCCATCATTCTGTTTAAAATATGAAAGAGTATTCCAAGGCCTAATTCTCACTGAGACGGTGCCCCTTCATTTGTGATATATGATTTCAGACTACAGTTTTGGGCTCACATGATTTAATGTTCCTTCACACTAACAAATTACCTGTACAGAAAATGAGCATGTCATGAAGGAGATGGTCTAGAACTCTTTTCCCTCCGATGCTAATTTTCTATGTATTGAATACTTTATGCAGGAACATTAAACCATTTTTAGCTCCCCACTTACAATATGAAACTGTACAGCCCAGATGCAGGTCTACCACTCCACAGGAAACTAGGCAGAGAGATCTGGAGCGTTCTCTTAAAGGGACAAACAAAGCTAAACAGCCAAGCCACAGCACCTTCAGAATCTATCAGCTTATGTGCAATAATAAAAATATGATGAATTGTACAGTATTTAATGTTGGAATAAATGGAAATAAACTGGTATGTAGGTTAGGACACCTGTGAAAATTTTTTCAATAGTCTGGGCTTCATAGCACAAGTTATTTGGCACCTGAAAATCACCACTTTTTTAAAAAAAATCTGTTTCCCCCTCATTTTTGTGGCATCTATTCAAAAAGTATACTACAGAAGAACCTTTTAATACATGAACTGAGTGTTACTGCCAAAAATCATACAAAATAAATTCAATGTATTTAAATGTCCTTTCTGTGTTTAAACAGTATTTTAGCTGCAGGGTACTACTGATGACTATTTTACCAGGCATTTTTATTACATATTAAATAGAGGGGTGAAAGTAATAATTTCTTTTCCAGTGAAAAATGTATGCCTTTGGTGGTTTCCGCCACTTTCCTCATAATTCTTCAGTAATAGTCCTTAAAATAAATTTCATATTAAGCTGAACATCTGTCATATTCAAAATGATGCCTAAGCCCAAGCCAGGTGAGTGTCCATCAGAACAGAGTGGGGAGTAGAACAGGAATATAAAGAAAACCATCTAACTAGAGCAGGAAGTATGCAGGGCGTAGATGCTGTTTCATGTTTCAACTTTAGTGAAGAATGTCTGTCATACTTTTAAATGTTATATTGAAAATTAACAAACCACTGGATCCAGACTGTATACTCCAAGAATTCTTAACACAAATGAAATTGTTGATCTTCTAATTAATATGTGCAATTTGTCATTAACACGGGTCTCTGTGCCAGGAGACTGAAAAGCCAATGTCACCCTGATTTTTTAAAAGGGATACGCCCCCCCCGCCCCCGGAAACTATAGACCAGGTTATCTTAACATCTGTCCTGGATAAACTGGTAGAAAATGTTATCAGAGACAGAATTGTTCAACATATAGAAGAACAAGCCAGGCTGAAGAGGAATCAGCATGCCTTCTCCAAAAGGGAAACCCTGCATCACCAACCTCTTAGAATTCTATAATAGCGTCAACAAGTGTCTGTGTTATGATTAAGTGCCTTTAAATTTATTCATAAGTGGCCTGGACTTAGAGTGAACAGTGAGGTAGTGAAGTTCGTGGATAACACCACATTGTTCAGGATGATGAACACAGAAGGGATTATGAAGAGATCCAAAACTAAACCAGATGAAAGGGCAACTAAATGGCAGATGAAATTCAGTGTAAATAAGTGCAAAGAGATGCATGTTAGGACAATCCCCCCTAATTTTACATATACAATGAAGGGGGTCGGAGCTGGCAATGACAGACCAAGAAAAGATACTGGGATTGTGGCAGATAGCTCAGAAAAATGTAAACTCATCGTGCAGCAGTGATAAAGAAGGGAAATTGCATGCTAGAGATCATTAGTAAAGGGACCAAGAATAAAATTCCCAACCAAGTAACACCTTCTCATCAACAACAAACACCTTTATGTAAGTTTCTAGTGCAGTCCCCAACTTCTGTTCATAATATTAACAAGGGGTTGCTGCTATACAACTATTAAGTACATTCTAAGTTGCCAACCAGGGATGAGAAGGGAGGGGAAATTAGAAGAGGGGCGAGAAAAACAATATCATGAAAGGAAGACAGCAAAATGAAGGAAGAGAAATGTGTGGAAAAAAAGAAGAGAAACTAAGAGGAAAGGTTGTTTTATTTTCTACAACAGGGAAGATCTGACTGTGCAGACAAAACTATGGAACTGGATGGAAGGATGGGAAGAGGGAAACAGACTGCTGGAAACAACAACCTTGTTAGGATGCTGCAGCCTGCCAACGACTGTAGCAGCCATGAGCTTTCCTGGCTGGTCTTGCCTTGCTCCAGTGCTGGCTTGGCTGATAGGTTTAGCAGGATATGCAATTGTTTGCCTCCTGTTAGTAAACTCTCCAGAAAGCAGGGCAAGCAGAAAGCAGAGCTACTGTGGTTTACTGTCCTCTGCCTTCCTTGTGCCCCTAGTGGTTGCAGAGCAGAACTGCATTAGAAGTAAAATAATGGGAATGCATTCCATTAATACACCATGACACTTCAGAGGCTCTCCAGTTGACCTGGGTCCCAGGAATTTTGTGCCCTCAGTTCCACCTCAGTGGCTCTGGGATATAGTGAGAAGTTCCCCCCTCCCTAGGAAATGCAGTGAGACGTCTGGGAGATGTGTCAGCTGGGTGTGTCCAGTAAGGTACCACTAAACAAAACTCTGCTAGGCACATGTCAAGCAGCAGAGGGGAGAGTATTCTTAAGAGGTAATTCTATAACCTGGGGCAAATCATGTTCTTTCTAGTCTCAGATCACCTGCATATCAAAGATATTGCAGAAGCAAACATGATGAAGAGTGGATTGGATTAGCATCCCTTTAGGAAAGCATATTTCATTTTTCTCTTTGCTCCTGGAGGAAGAGGAATCCATAGAGAATGTGAATGGAATTTCAGGGAATAGACGTGCATTAGATTTGTTGAGTATGCACAAATTTCAGACATTCCTCTGTGCCCTCAAGGAAAAGAAATCTGCCTGAACTGTCCAGTGAATCTGGAATGCATACATGTAGAATGCATACATATAGATACAATTTGTTTTCATACCTGTTTTGCAGGGTAGTCCCACTGGAAATCTACTCCAGAATTAAACTCAGCCCATACTGTGCAGTTGATAACAAGCTTTTCTCCAACAAGCAGTTCCATGGCTTTCCTTGGAAACAACTGAATGTCATAAAGTTCATTTCCTGGTATAAAAAGGAATAAGAAAAAAGTACTACTTAATCAAAATCTATTCAGTTTTTTAGTCCTGGAAAACAAACTCTTGCTGCTGTTGTGCAAAACTGTAAAAAAACTAACATCTCATAGAATCACCAGCCTTCACTAGATTTGTTTAAATCTGTGACTATCTGCCAATCATATCTTTGTAGATCTGGATGTTTTAGCTCCTTTTCTTGAAACCCACTGATTTTGAACAAAGACTATGTCTGGTTAGGTGCATTCATTTGAAACAGCAATTATGACAGGTAGTACACTAAAACAGATGGGCTAATGTGGTATATTTATGCAAGTGCTTATAATGATGCTTCACTTTTCACTTCATTTCTGTTTCTTGTGCTACTTCTACTTCAACCTGAAATGTTTAAAATGCTGTATTTGTGGGTCACTGGAAAAAATGGCCCACAAATTTTAGCTGGGTTTGGTAGCTAAATGGTTGGGCTGGCACCCCCTGGGAGACTGCAGGGGAGTTGGCAAAATGGCATCATGCAATGCTGCAGCATCATTTCCAGCTGTATACCTAGAAGTGATGTCACCACATTGTGTAAAAAACATAGAGATTGGGAAAATTCCTAGAGTACTATGTGATGCAGTGATGTCACTTCCATGTACACAGGCAATAGAGTTGTTATGGTGTCACATGAAGCAATTTGGCAGTCCCATTTCCCCATCACCACCCTATTGCACGAGGACAGATGTTGGAGCTCCAGTGTCACCACTTCTAGCCAGCTATAAAATCTGATCCCTTAACAATATTACCTGAATATAAGATAATGCCTAAATTAACCGTGTTAAGCGAGTACAGATGTTGAAGCTCCAGTGTCACCTAGCCAGCTATAAAATCTGATCCCATAACAATATTACCTGAAAATAAGATAATGCCTAAATTAACCGTGTTAACACAGGAAAACTATTTTATACATTTATTTTTATTGTGCTTTTTGTATGCTACAGGAGTATGGACATTATTATATCCAGTTATATCAAGTTACAGGCATTCCCTCTCGGCCTATTAGGATGTGTTTTGAGGATAAAACAGAAGAGGGAAGAATGATATACATTTGTCCTGAGCTTCTTGGAGGAAGGGTATGATTTTTAAAATAATAATAATAACTAAATACAATTTGAATATTCAGCAAAGATATAGCAATAGAATTTGGCCTTGACAGATGTTCAGCATTAGCACTGAACAGAGGAAAGATTGTTGAACAAGAAGAAATCAAGATGCCAAACAACAACAACATCAAAACACTAGGCTTTGAAGAAAATGACAAATACCTTGGAATTTTGGAAGCTGACAATATCAAACATACTCTTGTTTAAAAAATACACCCAAGGAGTACTACCAAAGAGTTAAAAATATATTGTGAACAAAATTAAATGGAGGCAACAGGGTAAAGGCAATTAAGATGTGGGCAGTCCCAGTTCTAAGATACACAGCTGGCATTATCGATTGGAAACAAGCAGAATTAAAAGCAATAGATGGCAAAACTTTCAAGATAATGACGATGCATCACTCACTACATCCTAGAAGTGATGTTGATCATCTTTACTTACCAAGACAATTAGGTGGAAGAGCTCTCCTGAAAGTTAAGCAAGTAGTTGAAGAAGAAAAATGAGCCCTGAATGACTACACCATGAAAAGCAAAGAGAAGCTGAAGTATACAAGGCAGACTTCTTTAAGGTTACAGAAACCAAAGAAGATTTCAAAAAGATTGCAATCAAAACTCACTTTGACAACTGGAAACAAAAGCACTTGCATGGGCAATATTTGAAAGACACAGAGAACAAAGTTGATAATGAAAACACCTGGAGGTGGCTCCAAAATGGGTACTTGAAATGACTCTTTTTAGCTGCCCAACAGCAGACACTCAAAATGAATAGTATGAAAGCCAAGATTCAGAAGACCAGTGATGACAGCAAATGTTGACTTTGCAAGACAAAATATGAAACAGTTGAACAGATGGATAGTGCCTGCAGTAAAATTGTTCAAACTGACTATAAAGAATGTCACAATAGAGTTGTGTCTATGTTGCACAGGAATCTTTGCAAGAACCAGCCAATCAGAAATTCATGGGAGCACAAACCACACAAGATAATAAAGAATGATAAAACAAAGATTCTTTGGCACTTCCAGTTGCAAACAGATAAACACCTGGAGCATAACACCCCTGATATCACAACTATAGAAAAAATGAGAAATAGGGGTTGGATCATTGACATCACATTCCCAGGAGAAAGCAGAATAAAAAAGAAAGAACAGGAGAAGATCACAAAATACCAAGACCTACAAATAGAGTTAGGGTGCCTCTGGGAGAAGAAGGTTACCATTGTTCCAGTTGTCATTGGACCCCTTGAAGCAGTGCCTAGAATTTTCAAGAAACACCTGAACATTCTGGGCATTGAACAAATAACACCAGCTCTGCTCCAGAAAACAGTGTTGCTTGGAACAGCAAGAATCCAGTGAAGATACATCTGCAGTTTCCCAGACCTTGGCTAGATCTTGAATTGCAGAACACCATCTACCAATCAAATATCTGATTGTGAGGATTAACAACAACAAGAACAATGACTTGTACAGAAAGAAAATTACAACACTTTGAATTAGGAGCATATGAGAGCAGAAAAAAATATTCAGTTCAACACCACTGAAACGCCCCAGTCATAGGGTTTGAAAAGGTTTAGGAAAAGAAATCACATCAATTCTGATCTGAGTTTTTGAAAACTCTTCTGCTAGGCAGCATGAAACCCAGGGCAAAATATAATGGGCTCAAATGTAACTGTTCTTCTACAGGGCAACACAGCTATCTTCTGAAACTATCTTCATGGAGGGCAAGATATGGTGCTGCATATGCTAGATAAGAAGCACTGTAATAATTGGGAACTGTCTAGGACTTCACATGAAAAAGTCTCACAGTTCCTTTAAAAAGCGTACCCCCTACAGCTTTCCCTCCTTATTCTATTAGTATTTCTCTTCCATGAACAACAAAACTATTATATTAATTGTATTTAGCATCTCCATTCTATGTGTTCGTTCATTTCTGTTTATTCCTTCACCATTCCTCCTTTTATGCAGTCTTTTGTTTTGTTTTAAGGCTGTAAAATGTTCTGAAATAAACTTGCCCATTTGTATTTATTGGGCATCACTTAATACAATTGCAATGTAATCCTGTGCCCTTCTAAGTCCACTGAAGTCAACTGCAGTTAGAGACTTAGGGCTGGATCCATGTTCGCATGCACAGGGACTCTTTGAAAAACATTGATCTTGTACACGTGGAAGTGCTAGCAGCAGAGAAAGTGAGCACAGCAGTGAAAAAAAGCTTCCGCAACTGCTGAAGAGAAGTGCAAGGGGCACAATGTCATTGGATTCAACCCACAAGAAAGAAAGAAAGAAAGAAAGAAAGAAAGAAAGAAAGAAAGAAAGAAAGAAAGAAAGAAAGAAAGAAAGAAAGAAAGAAAGAAAGAACTTCAGCTGAATTTTGGTCTCACTGGGAACTTGCAGTTTCTGGTCTGTAATGTTCCAATGGAATGGACTGGATCTAAACTAAATTTTTTGATGGCAGAATGGAATTTTCCTGCTTCCCTTCACACACTATAGCCTACTGATCTTCACTAAATGCTGCTCCTGGGTGGATGGGGGAATACAAGACCTGGACATGTAGGGGATCTACAGCAGATGAATTGGTGGAAAATGCCTATTTAGTTAGGATCCAATCCAATGTTAACAGCCTAAATCAACAGGCTGTTGTTAGGTTATGAGAAACTGTAAAACACTCGGTCTGTGGCAAATGTGCTTATTAAATTATGAGTCCATAAAGAAGAAGTATTTGTAACAGAAATAGTGTCCTGGCCAAAGCAGGCTTTACAATCACATTATAAATTAATTAAAACAAGCACTGATGTAAACCTCGTGTGTGATAATATTTTTCTACTACATGGACATCTTTAGCAAGCACAGTTTTGGAGTAAGCAACTCTGAGCTGATGTCATATAGCAGCTAAGAGAATAAAGAGGTTGCTGCTGGTTCAAATATTATCTCTAATCTGAATTTACCAGGTGGCCTTAAATATGCTTCCCCACGGCAGTACCCCACTCGCAATAGTTTAATGAGACTGGCCTACCTTAATTGTTGTACAGATTACTGTAGTAATTTAGTAGTAGAAGAAATGTAATTGTACTGCATGTTTGTTGATCACAGTAATATAAAACAATTAAAACCGTTTGGTAAAACAAATTCCAAAGACCTGAAAGTGTAAAAATTAGGCAGAAACACCCTTACCCATTAAATTCTACTAATAATAGCCCTTTAAATAAACAAACTAACAGAAAATGAAAAGCCTAAACATTTTAATTCGTAACTGAAATTTGAAATTAACTATAATTAAGGAGAATTTACATTGACAATCCACAGTATGGACCTTTTAAATAATATTTTGTTAGCATAAATTACATACACACAAGCTGCTGCCTAACGGATACCTGAGATCTTATCAAGAAAATAGAAAAACAAGCTTATGTGATGCTGACCCATTGGGCTTCCTTATCAAAAGAGGAGAGCAGTAATATATGCAAAGTGCTTCAATGAGGGGCTGTGGCTCAGTGGAAGGGCATCTGCCTTGCATGCAGAAGATCCCAGGTTCAAGCAGAAGATGCAGTCACCAGCATATCCAGTTGGACAGGTAATAGGTGATATGAAAGACCTCTGCCTGAGTACCTGGAGAGCCACTGCCAGTGAGAAAGTCAATACTATGTTTGACAAATCAAGGGTATGACGCAGTATAAGACAAGTTCATGTGTGAACACTGAACATGAGATAAATGATGATAATGAAGAAGAAACTCACCTGCAATGTGGACAAGGAAGAAACTGGATTTGAAGGATTTCCTGTCAATGAAAGTTTCACACTGAACATACAGGGAATCCTTGATCAGTAAGGTGGGAACCAACATCCCTCTTTTATTGTCCCACATAATGCTCTTTCCATCTGGATAGATTATAGAGGTTGTCTAGAACAAAGAGACATTAAAAAAACTCTTTTAAGAAATGCATAGATGTAACATTATAGCCTTATCCTCTATTTCTTTCAAGGCAGGTCAGCTCCACAGTTAATCAGCCATGATTATTTGTACAAACCAAAGGTCATCACAGAAATTCCTCACACCCAGTAATACAGAGGGAGACAAGATCTGGTTATTCAAAGTTGGGCAACGCCAGAGGGGTCATAGGAAAGTTGAGTGTAGGCAAAACCAAGAGTAATAATTATATTAAATGGTTTCCATAGCATGACATGGCTAACAACTGTAAACATTCATACTGAATCTTGTACGCTGCCAGTAAAAATAAAGTTACCATATAGGTAACTAGCCTGATACCCGTGCTTTGCCATGGTATTTAAGTTCCGTAAATCCAGTTATAATACTGATGATGTGAAATTTGAAATGTGACATTTGTTGCAGGAATTCTAATGGAGAAGATTGTAGTGTAAGAAATGAAGTGAGACATACGTACTTTTCTCTCTCTCTACTGAAAGACCTCTCTCTAGACCACATTGGTGGTTCTGCCCTCAGGTGCTAGGATCACCAGGCTGCTTGATGAGCTCACTCTGGAGCAGGCCACATAGAACTGTCCATTTAAGAAGCAGTCATCTGTTAACTCAACTCCTGCCACCTTCTACGAAAGTGATGGCCTTACTTGTGTTTCTGGATTGTTTTGCTCACATGGAGATTGTGTTGTTCTCAGGGTAATCTTGCTGGTACTTGGCCTGCGCAGCTCAGTGCTCCGCAGGAGTACTATGTGCAAATGTCTTTGCCTCATTCCTAAATTGCCTCCTCCTTGTAGCGTTGGTGTATCTGGCTCAACATTTGCCAGGAGCTTTCTTGGCGGCAGTAAGAGGTGAGAGGTGTGAGGGGGAGTTGGTGTGAAGAGGCACGTATCAAAATGGCTCCTAGAAAGGTCCTTTACTATCTCCCCATAAACATTCATTAACTCAATTGCCATGTTGGCTTTTTTGAAAAATGTCTATTCAGGAGTCTTGAATAGCTGATTCTGTAACTGTCCTCAACTGTCTGCAGTCTCTTCTAACTATGTTTTTCCCTCAGAACATTGAGATCCACAGCTGAGCAATCAGAGGGAGGTGGGTGCA